GATGCCTCGACGACAGCTCAGATGCTCCGAAGAGAATTCAAGATTGGGGAGACCAAAAGGTACCGATACCGCTACTCCCCGAACCTCTCCCGGGGTGCGTTCTGACAAGAATTTCGTGGCAAACCCAGCGGAGGCGACAAGGGCCTCGCAGGAGGCCCAAAAAGATGAAAACGGCCGAAGGGTAGAGAAATGGGTACCTTTCCCTCCCCTGAAAGATGGCCCCACGATGCACCCAAGACGGCCCAAGATGACAGGGGCCTGCAAACGGACTTCCAGCAAAACTCAAGCTCGCGCCTCTTCAGCGAGCGCTGATCCCAACCGTGCTGAGGTGTAGGGTCCTCGTTTTGAAGGGACAGCGCCCCGCGTCACCTCACTCCTACTCCCGCTTCTCCCTCCCTCCTCATCACATCATCATCATCATCATCATCATCATCATCATCATCATCATCATCATCATCATCATCATCATCATCATCATCACCAACATCATCACCATCATCAGCATCATCATCATCAGCATCATCCTCATCATCTTCATCATCATAAGCATCACCTTCATCATCATCATCATCATCAACATCATCCTCATCTGCAGCAGCATCAGCCTGAGCATCGTCATCATTAGCATCATCAGCATCATTAGCATACTTACTATCATCAACATCATTACCATCACCAACATAATCATTAGTATTACCAACATCATTACCATCATAATCACCATCATCATCACCATCACCATCATCATCATCATTATCATCATCACACTCATCCGCATCATCATCATCGTCGTCATCGGCGTCATCATCGTCATCGTCATCCTCATCGACATCAAGGATATCATGACCGTCATCATCTCATCATCGTCATCATCACCATCATCGTCACCATCGCCGTTATAGTCACCATCATCGAAGCTCTTGTCGGCGCGCCCCTCACGCGTTTCGATGCCCCGTAAGGAGCTCCACCGAAGGCCTAAATGGCACAACTCACATACGTCCGCCACACCAATGTCGGCACACCCTCACACGCTTCGTGGCCCCATAGGGAGCTTCACCGAAGGTCCCAGTGGCGCAGTTCGCATGTGGGCGTCACGCCCGATTCGGCACACTCCTCACACGCTTCGTGGCCTCACAGGAAGCTCCAACGAAGGTCCCAATGGCGCAGTTCGCATGCGGGCGTCACGCCAGTTTGAACACACCCCTCACACGCTTCGTGGCCCATCGCATGTGGGCGCCACGCCCGATTCGGGACACCCCTCACACGCTTCGTGGCCCCATAGGGAGCTCCACCGAAGCTCCCAGCGCTGCAGTTCGCACGTGGGCGTCACGCCCTTTTCGGCACACCCTCACACGCTTCGTAGCCTCATAGGGGGCTCCACCGAAGGTCTCAGTGGCGCAGTGCGCATGCGGGCGTCACGCCCGTTTCGGCACACCCCTCACACGCGTCGTGGACCCGTAGGGAGCTCCACCGAATGTCCCAATGGCGCAGTGCGTATGTGGGCGCCTCGCCCGTTTGAACACCCCTCATACACTTCGTGGCCCCATAAAAAGCTCCAGTGCCAGTGGCCCAGTTCTCATGTGGGCGTCACGCCAGATTCGGCACGCCCCTAAGACGTTTCGTGACCCAATCGACGTTTCGTGGCCCCATAGGGAGCTCCACCGAAGCTCCCAGTGGCCCAGTTCGCATGTGGGCGTCACGCCCTTTTCGGCACACCCTCACACGCTTCGTGGCACTATAGGCAACTCCATCGAAGATCCCAATGAGAAGGTTCACATGCCCCCCCCTCGCCAAACCGGCACGCCCCTATCATGTTTTTCGGACCCTTAGGGAGTTGCACGGAAGACGATCCTCACAACTGCGGGACTCACAACTGCAGATGGCTGGTTCCTTCGCCAGGCTAGTTTGTTCAAAGATGTTAGGCAGGGGGCGGCGGTGATTCGCCGTAGGCGTCTTCGATCCGCCGCCTCCTGTTGCTCGCCACAAGGGTGCACGGCGTGCTGGACACTGGTGGTTCTTATCATTTCTGAATTTTCCCTCATGGGGTCTCGGCCCAATCCGCCGGCCACTCGGAAAGACACATCGAATCGCGTACGTAGGTCTACAACAAATCTCTTCAAGACGGCCAAAATGGCCACCAATACGGCCAAGATGGCATCCAAGAGGGCCCAAGATGCCTTCCGGACGGACCGAGAGGCCCTCAATTCGGAGGGCTCCAAGAGGACCTCAGGAAAAAACACACATTGCTTCCTCCTGGGTGCTTTTGAATGACTGTAACGTTCTCCCCTTTCTGGGGCTTGCGACGCTCCAAGACGACCCCATGTGCCACCAAAATCGCATCAAGACGGCCCAAGAGGCCCTCAAGAGGCCCGCAAGACGGCACAACAGGGCCTCAAGACGGCCCAAGAACCCCACCCAAGACGGCCCCAAAGATCTCCAAGACGGCCGTCGAGAGCCCCAACCAAAAGGACCCACACTTGCCGAGAGAGGCCCCCGAGACGGTCTCGGGGCCCCCAACCGAGGCCCGCAAGAGGCCCCAGGAGGCCCCGCAGAGGTCTGGCAGAGGCGCCCACAGGGCCTCCCAGGAAGCCCCCAAGGCAGCCACAAGAAGGCCTCCAGAGGCATCCAGAGGCCTCCTTCTGGGGAGGAGGACCTCCTCCAACTTCTCGTTCTCCTCCTCCTCCTCCTCCTCCTCCTCCTCCTCCTCCTCCTCCTCCTCCTCCTCCTCCTCCCTCTCAGCTTCCTCCTCCTCCTCATCCTCCTCCTTCCCTCTCAGCCTCCTCCTCCTCCTCCCTCGTTCTCCTCCTCCTCCTCCTCCTCCTCCTCCTCCTCCTCCTCCTCCTCCTCCTCCCTCTCAGCCTCCTTCCTCTCCATCTCCCAGAAAAAAGTTTCCCACAAAGGGGTCCCCGACGGCTGGGGGTGCACATAGCCCAATAGCGTGGCCAAGCTCTGGCCCAACGTGTGGCCGCATGCTGAGCGGGGGCCGACCGTCACGGCATGCTCCCAGAACCCCAACCTGCGATAAGGCCTTCCACGACATGCTCTTAGAGCCCCAACATGCTATGATAACCAAAGGCCATATTCTCTCATAACATATACCCGATGTGTTAAAACAAGACAGTCCCAGCCAGAATCGTTTTGAGAACAGTTCGTGGAAACCACAACACGGCTCTTAGAACATGTTTCGGTAGGACTGCAGACACGCCAGGACGCTTCGCCACTGCTTGAACATGGGCGTGTCCATACGGCAAGGTGCGGCGGTGGTTCGCCGCGGGCGTCATCAATGAATGTCTATGAGTTCTGCGTATGCTTGCGCGCGTGCGTATGCGTTTGTGCAAAAACAGAGGCCTGCTCTTTATGCAGATAGCTTCACTATAACGGACCCGACAGAGGGGGCAGGAGACCGCATTAAGCACGTAGGAAGCTTTCTCATACCTTCTGACCTCGCAGCTCCTCTAATAAGAAGGGGTCGCAGATGGGAGAAGGAGGAAATGCGGTCGAACTAGGACAGAAAACCACCTCTCAAGAACACAAGACCCTCGACCGGCCCAAGCGTACAGCAGAACATCTGTCGGTGCCCTCCCCAGGGTTCACAAAAACACCCAACAAACACCACCAACAACCATAGGGTACCCTCCCCGAACCGACCCTCGATCTTCTACCTCGGTCCGACTGCATCCACATGATACGCCAACGTGCGTCACGATGCTACGCCCTTCGGCGGTGGACAAACCTCCCTTTAGTAAACCTCCCCTTAGTGAAACGCGCCTGCGACGGAAACCGACGGACCTGGACCCGCAAAAATGACGGCCGCGACGCCCTCTCGCGAACCGAAAACGGCCAATTCCTTAATCGACGTGTCAGGGTAGGAAATCTATCCACCTCCAAGCCCTCAAGGAGCTCCGCGAGCTAGTGCCGAGGCAAAACCGGGGACGGCACGGGCGGGAAGCATCGAGGGAGGGAGAGAGGGGCAGGGGCAGACAGACAGACAGAACCCGACCCAGGAGGGGGGGACGAAGAGGACGGCCTGAGCAGAGAGGGGGACGCCGAGGATAGGCCAGAGGAGAGGACAGGCAAGCTTGCCGTCGCTCGCGCGCGCAAGCCCCGTGCACGTGTCGGCCTCGCGCGCACTTGTTTGTTCCTGCCGGGTGATCCAGGATGCGCCTCGATGGCCCTTGTCAAGAAAAAATGCGCACACGTCCGAGCGATGCCAGGGGAGGGGGAAGCGGAAGGAGGTACAGTGGAGGCCAGTCCACAAGAAACCTTCCACAACAAACCCAGCCCTGAGAACCCCAGGACGTTCCTTGATTTTTTGGTGCGGGCACGTCACGCTGTCCACAGGAAGACCATCGAGACCCAAGAAACGCGGGGCACCCTAGAGGCAAGCAGGGTTAGAGGCCTCCTGGAAGGGGTCGGAGCAGATGGGGTCGGAAGAGTTCGCGCCTCCTCGCCGATACGTCGGCGATGCCTCGCCGAGGCATCGGCGATGCTTCTTGGCATGGGCTTCCACGGCATGCACCCGTCCGAGGAGGAGGGGGAGGAGGAGGAGGAGGAGGAGGAGGAGGAGGAGGAGGAGGAGGAGGAGGAGGGGGGAGGAGGAGGAGAGGAGGAGGAGGGAGGAGGAGGAGGAGGAGGAGGAGAAGGAGGAGGAGGAGGGGAGGAGGAGGAGGAGGAGGAGGAGGAGGAGGAGGAGGAGGAGGAGGAGGAGGAGGAGGAGGAGGAGGAGGAGGAGGAGGAGGGGGAGGGGAGGAGGAGGAGGGGGAGGAGGAGGAGGGGGAGGAGGAGGAGGAGGAGGAGGAGGAGGAGGAGGAGGAGGAGGAGGAGGAGGAGGAGGAGGAGGAAGAGGGACGGACGGATGGATGGGTGGAGGGAGGGAGGGAAGGAGGGAGGGAGGGAGGGGAGCGATCGCCAGGGGAGGGTGCCCCCCCCCCTTCCCGCGCGGCAGGGCGCGCGCGCGACCCCGCCTGCAGCGACCTCTGGAGCAGCCGCTGCGCAGCCGCCTCTGCGCTGTGCCCCGGCGACGCCAGGGGGCAGGGGGGCTTGTATTATGTCGGGCGTGCCCCCCGTACAGGCGGATTTTCGACGAAATTGCTTTTTTTTAATGCCCCCCAAAATAGCCCAAAAAGATTAAAAAAATACCCAAAAATAGTCCCCAGACTATTGTTGTATTGTTATTTTTATTTGTTTTACTATTTTGAGGGGATTTCTTATTTTTCATCGGCAATGTCCCTGTAGGGGGACAGGCCCCACCTAACGCTATGCCCAGGCGACGCCAGAGGGCAGGGGGACTTGCAGACCGGGGGCGTCCAAGAGAGGGGGGGGGCGCAAATCGTGGCTGGCGGCACGGGCGCGGCCCAAGGGGAGGCCGGGGACGCCTTGGAATAACACGAGGCACCACGAAGCGCGTGAAAGTATCATGGCCCCCGCCTTGACATCCACCCCCCCCCAGTCAGCACCCCCCTCTTGGCCGCCCCAGAGGATAGAAAAAACAACCACAACCACGGCATAAACAGAAACTTCTCTGAAGGGGCCCTGGGGCACACAAATAAATAGACACAAATAAAAGGATCCCCCATATCTTCCCATATTTTCTGGGTTTTTGTCTTCCCCCCAATTCCCATATTTTCCCATATTTTCCTGGGAGTCGACGATTAATTGTGTCTGTGTGTTTTTTGTCCCTCCTGATTCTCGCGCTCCGCGCGAACTGCCTGCATCTGCGCTGGACCCCCCCTGCCCTGGCGCGTGGAGCGCGCCAGGGGCGCCGCCGGAGGCGGCGCCGGAGGCGCCGCCGTGCGGGGGCCCAGCGCGGATCCAAGAGCTCCGCGCGGAGCGCCAGAAGTTCCTGTGCGAATGCCACGTTTTCCGTCCTTCAGCCTTAGGAGGCAGCTACCCGGAGGTCTTCGCCGGAGGGATGAGGGAGAACTGAAGCCCATCGGGGGGCTGCTGCGCCGAATGATGCTAAGGATCAAGCGGGATCGGGCCAGGCGGCACAGGACTAAGCCGGATCGGGCGGGACTAAGCAGGGTTAAGCCAGATTTCGGACCAGAGCGAAGTGAGACTCCCACCAGCCCTCTGGGCGTAGGTGGTTTAGGGCGTTTCCTCTTCCACCCCTTCTTCTTCCCCTTCGGGGAGGGGTTTATCCCTCACACGATTCAGCCGTCCCCCTCTTTGCTCCCGCACTTCCCTGATCACCTCTCAACTCGCCTGGACATCGTTTCTGGATGGGCTGGTGGGGATACGCGAAGCGTCTAGAATTTGACGCAGGAGGGGGGCGCGCCGACCAGATTTGGGACTTGCGTGCCACATCAGCCGTCCCAGGAGAAGGACTGCTGTGACGGGCAAGCGGGAGTAGGGCAGTCAGAAATCTCGGCTGAACTCGCACGCGCTTTAGGCCGGTGGCATCCGTCTTGCATGCGACGTCTCCGCAGACAAGAGAAATCAACTGGAGGACAAGGCGCCATGATGGAGTGAATCCTACCCTCTCGTCGTGCGCCCCATCCTCGTCCTACTGCTCAATCGCTGCTTGCGTTGCATCACACACAACTCTGTGTTTCATAACCGTGCTACTCCCGAACGGCCCCGCGCCCATCCCAAGCTCCATCTGTCCTTCCTTCTTCGCATTCCGATGCCCTTCCAAATCCGCATCGTCCCCCACAACTTCAGGAGGCAACCATGCCACCCTGAGCAAGAGCGTCAACACAAAACTCAGCAGCGACGAGCTTCAATCGGCTTCGTTACTATTGTTTGTCAAATCCTGTCTCGATCCGTCACCACAAGAAACCAACCAAATAAGCGTAACAAAACGACACGCTTGCGTCACACTTCATGTCAATTGCCATTGGGACGGTGCCCACAAACATCGCGCCTTATTCATATCCGCGTATGGTCACAATACATACACCACTACGGCGCATCATTATGGACATGTACAGAAAGACGGCCAGAAACAAACGGAATTGTGCGTCGCCATCAACTGAGCCCACTCACCGCGACACGAGACCGCATGCAGACAAACATCGGCCTACCATAACCCTGCAAGAAGACTCGCCCAGGCTTTTCAATGTTTTCAAAACGAGCTGCGTTTCCTCTTCGGCGAACTGGGTTCTTTCCCCACATGCTTAGTGGGGTTTTGGTGTTCTTCTCTGCCTCGTCGCACCCGCGGCCCTCACACCCCACCTTCCTCCTCCCTCTCCTTTCACACAGCACATCACAGCGCAGCACAGCGCAGCACAGCACAACACAGCGCAGCACAGCGCAGCACAGCACAGCTCAGCACAGCACAGCGCAGCTCAGCACAGCAAGCGCACCACAGTGCAGCAGAGCACAGCACAGCACAGCTCAGCACAGCTCAGCAGAGCTCAGCACAGCTCAGCACAGCACACAGCACATTGACACACAGCACGTACACAGCACAGCACAGCACAGCACAGCTCATCTCAGCACAGCATTGCACAGCACAGCACAGCAAGCACAGCACCTCAGCACAGCACACCTCAGCACTACACAGCACAGCACAGCACAGCACCTCTGGACACCATAAGGGGGTGCGCAGCAAGTGGTCTCTGAGCGCGGCCGCTATCCACGACACTGTCGAACAAAAACCTAGCAGGCGTTGCATTTTCTGGACACCATAAGGGGGGCGCAGGGGGTGGTCTCTCAGCGCGGCCGCTATCCGCGACACTGTCGCAAAGCCTAGCAGGCGTGGCACTTTCTGGACACCATAGGGGGTGCGCAGGGGGTCTCAGCGCGGCCGCTATCCACGACACTGTCGCAAAACTTGGCAGGCGTGCCACTTTCTGGACACCATGAGGGGTGCGCAGGGGGTGGTCTCTCAGCGCGGCCGCTATCCACGACCCTGTCGCAAAGCCCAGCAGGCGTGGCACTTTCTGGACATTAGAAGGGGGTGCGCAAGGGGTGGTCTCTCAGCGCGGCCGCTATCCACGACACTGTCGCAAAGCCTAGCTCGGGTCAGGCGAAAGGGGGGGATAGCAAAGGGGGGGGGGGTGAGAATCAGCTCACGTAGCTGATTTTCCCGGCGCCTCCCGGCGCCGGAGGCGGCTATGTATCGAGGAATGGGCCCCTCGGTGGGGCCGAAACCAGCTGCACGCAGCAAATTTCGTAACCACCCTTTTCCCAATCCATCCCTTCCGCCCTGCCCGACTAGCAGGCGTAGCACTTTCTGGACATTATAGGGGGTGCGCAGGGGGTGGTCTCTCAGCGCGGCCGCTATCCACGACACGGTCGCAAAGCCTAGCAGGCGTGCCACTTTCTGGACACCATAGGGGGTGCGCGGGGGGTGGTCTCTCAGCGGGGCCGCTATCCACGACACTGTCGCAAAGCCTAGCAGGCGTGGCACTTTCTGGACACCATAGGGGGGGCGAAGGGGGTGGTCTCTCAGCGCGGCCGCTCTCCACGTCACTGTCGCAAAACCTGGCAGGCGTGGCACTTTCTGGACACCATAAAGGGGGTGCGCAGGGGGTGGTCTCTCAGCGCGGCCGCTATCCACGACACTGTCGCAAAGCCTAGCAGGCGTAGCACTTTCTGGACATCATAAGGGGGTGCGCAGGGGGTGGTCTCTCAGCGCGGCCGCTATCCACGACCCTGTCGCAAAGCCTAGCAGGCGTAGCACTTTCTGGACACCCTAGGGGGTGCGCAGGGGGTGGTCTCTCAGCGCGGCCGCTATCCACGACACTGTCGCAAAGCCTGGCAGGCGTGGCACTTTCTGGACAACACTGGGGGTTCGCAGGGGGTTGTCTCTCAGCGCGGCCGCTATCCACGACACTGTCGCAAAGCCCAGCAGGCGTGGCACTTTCTGGACATTACCGCGGCCGTTATCCACGACATTGTCGCAAAACCTAGCAGGCGTAGCACTTTCTGGACACCATAAAGGGGTGCGCAGGGGGTGGTCTCCCAGCGAGGCCGCTATCCACGACACTGTCGCAAAGCCAAGCGGGCGTGGTACTGTCTGGACACCATAAGGGGGTGCGCAGGGGGTGGTCTCCCAGTCCACGCCGCTGCCGTCAAGCCTGGCAGGCGTTGCATTTTCTGGATACCACAGGGGGTGCGCTGGGGGTGCGGTCGATATCCGTTTCGGGCTCGCAACGTGTGGCACGCGTGGCACTTCCTGGACGCCACAGGGGGTGCGCCAGGGGTGCGGTAACTACCCGTTTCGGCCACGCAAAGCGTGGCAGGCGTGACACTTCCTCGACGCCACAAGGGGTGCGCCGGGGGTACGGTCGCTATCCGTTTCGGGCTCGCAAAGCGTGGCAGGCGCGGTATTTTCTCGATGCCACAGGGGGGGGCGCCGGGGGTGCGGTCGCTGCCCGCTTTGGCCTCGCAAAGCGTTGGCAAGCGTGGCAGTTTCTCGACGCCAAACGGGGTGCGCTGGGGATGCGGTCGCTATCTGTTCCAGGCTCGTAAAGCGTTGCAGGCGTGACAACTTCTCGACGCCGAAAGGGAATGCGCTGGGGCTGCGGTCGCTATCCGTTTCGGGCTCGTAAAGCGTGGCCGGCGTGACACTTCGTCGACGCCACAAAGGGGTGCGCTGGGGGTGCGGTCGCTATCCGTTTCGGGCTCGCAAAGCGTGGCCGGTGCGGTACTTTCTCGATGCCACAGGGGGTGCGCCAGGGGTGCGGTCGCTATCCGTTTCGGCTTCGCAAAGCGTGGCAGGCGCGGTACTTTCTCGACGCCACAACGGGGTGCCTTGGGGTGCGGTCGCAATCTGTTTCGGGCTCGCAAGGTGTGGCTGGCGCGGCGCTTCTCCTCTCCACCTCTCCTCTTGAGTGGCGTCACCAGCGGTATCGGCGGGGCAACGGCCACCGACATTATTCTCACATGCTTCACTTCAGCTATCACCACCCCAGCCATGATGTAAGTATGTGGGGTTCCTCGGTTGCGTAATTCCCGGCGGAGCACCGGGACTGGCACGACTACCATGAGTAGTACGGTTACGACTAGTATTGCGACTACGCGTCTTAATACTTCAACTACTGGAATGGCG